ATTGCCTAAAGCTTTGTTTATAAGTAAAGAATATATCCTGAAGTCACAGTTGTCCTAGATTTGAGGCCTCAACAATAATCTGCCAATTTAATGGAAAAATAAAAAGATATCTTGCTTGCCTAGCATGCAGAAGCCCTTGGGTTCAAAATCCAGGACCCTCTCCCTCAAGTGTATATCTCACATGTGCATACACATACATACACATACATGTATATCTTTTTTTTCATACATGTATATCTTTATGTCTGCAAGTAGTCTCTCATTTTTTTATTTTTGAAGCAGGGTCTCACTGTATAGTTAAGATTGGTCTTGAACTCCCTATGTAGTCCAGGCTGGCCTCAAACTGGAGGCAATCCTGCTGCCTCAGCCTAAGTGCTGGAATTACAGGTGTGTGCCTGGGGTCTGAAAATAGTCTTTGGTTCATAGAACAGTTCAAGTGGAGACCCTTTTAGGCAAGTTGGTATTTATTTTTTGATTAATTAATTTTTTTTTTAAGAGACTGGGTCTTGCTTTGTTGCTTAGGCTGGTCTCAAACTCCTGTATTCTCCTGCCTCACTCTCCCAAGTAGTTGGGACTATAGACACATGCCACTTTGCTTTATTTAATGAATTTTTCATGGATGAATTAAATAATATTTAGAATTGATGTTAGAGATTACTTCTACTTTAAGCAAATTAACAGAGATTTTCTGTTGTAATTGTTTAAATCGAAGGAAGTAAAAGAAGATGATTTGGTTTTAGTGGAATAATCTGACAAAAAGCCTAAAGCAAAGGTGTCTCTCCACTGATTGGTATTGTGAAGCTGACTAAAATCTGTTAATGTCAGACATCACTTTACTGCCTCTTTTGGTTAATACAGAACATGAAGCCTTTAAGTTTTTGTTTTTTTTGAGATGGGGGTCTCACTGTGTAGTTTAGGCTGGCCTTGAACTTGCAGCATCCTCCTGTCTCAGCCTCCTGAGTGCTAGAGTTAGAGGCATGCGCCACCATGCCCGGCTTACCCTTTAAATTTTGAGCAGCTAAGATTTTTTAGGTTGGAAGGGCTGGCTGTTCAAGTGAGTGAACTCTGCTTCAGAGTTTGTGCTCTTCTCTTTGATCATTTTTGTTTTGGACACTGCCGATACCAAGTGCTTTCACTTTGAATATTGCTGATACCACCAAAGGTAAGTTTTCTCCTAAGATTTTAGGTCTACCCAACCTTGATTGGGCAGCTGAGAATTTTAATTTTAATTTAAACTAAGATACTAAAGTTGGTCAATAGTAATCTCACTGGATAGTAAGTATTCACTGGTGGCTACACACATGACTGTCCCATCCTGCCGAGTGAAACAATCATCCGTGTACTACTGGTAGCTCATGCTGGCAGGAAATTACCATGTTCAAATTAGATCCTCCTGGCAGCAAGAAATATGTGTTGAGGAAACTCATTGAGTTGAGAATTTCACTCAGCTTTCTACTCTGCTGGCAAAGCAACTGCTGCTGCCACAAGACTGAGTCATGGACAGACACTAACAGCAAAGATGTGGTTTGGGATTCCGACCACATGGTGAAGAAGTGAAAATACCATCCTCCCAAGAAGTAACGCCATACTTACAGCTACTTATATGACATTCCCATTTAGATCCCTCACAGGATTGATTCTCAAGCCTTAAAGTATATTTTTTGCCTAACCCTGTTTTTCTCCCCTTGTCTTTCTAAATAAGTGGAGCTACTATATATCCAGTTTTTTTTGTTGTTGTTTTTTTTTTGCTACCGGGGATCGAACTCGGGTCCTTGCGCTTGCACAACAGGCGGTGAAACCACTGAGCCAAATCCCTGGCCCTGTATATCCAGTTTTAAAACCATAAATGTGGGAGTCATCTTTGCCTTTTTAACTTTTAGGTTTCTTTGATCATTCCCTGTTGTTCATGACATTCCTAGTTTCAAAGCCCTTTCCATACACGTTTATTTAGCACGTAACCCAGAGCCTAAAACAAAACTGTGAAATAGTGAATATATGAAAGAATGAGTGAAAAGGATTCACCATGTGTATTGTAAGAATGTTCCCATATAGCCATTTTCCAGGTTGATTATTGAATCATTTACTTCGAATTTTATCATCCCTTCTCACCCCGCGATCTCAGAAAATGCATTCAAAATTCTCTCACTTTCAAACAGTAATCTTCCTTCACTCTACATCTGAGCATCTGGGAGTCTGCTAAAAAGGATGTTCTTTTTGGTTTGGCCTGTGGATGAATTCTACTCCATGGCCAGATTTCTCAAACTCCTAACACTGGTATTCCTGCATCTCATCTCACACAAAATACATTCAAATTCACAGCATTAGAGTCAAGTATTGTAGGCAGGTCAGGATACATACTATACTGCACCTGACATGTAGCTATTCATTCCTCAGGAGACATGCTGAGTGTGTACTGTGGTAGGTACTTACTGTATTCCTGGTTCTCTTGTAGGTATTTTGTCTTTTTGTAGCATGGTAAACAATCCTTGCCCTCATGAAACATTCTGGCTAGGAGAGAAAGAAAAAGTAAGCATAATTAAAACACATTAGAAAGTGTTAAGTAATAATAGGAAAAAAAAAAGAACCAGAGATAAGGGAGCTTTGGGAATATCCAGAGGGTACAATTTTAGGGTGAATGATTAGGGATAGCTTTACTGAGAAAGTGGTAATTTGAGCAAAGATTAAACACATTCACAATGGGGCTGCAGTTTGTATGTCTTGCTGTTGAGCAGCTCTGATTTGGACATTTTACATTCCTGCTGGTTGAACCACTGGTGGTACATGCATGACTCCCATCAGGTGGCTGGGAACAGTCTCATCAGGCATACCACTAGTGGTTAAAGCTGCCCAATGGACAGTCATGCATGTACCACTAGTGGTTCAAGCCGGGGGAATGCATTAAGGGAATTGAAAGTTTACCATGTAGATACAGTGGTATTTTGGTTCACAAACTTAATTCATTCCATGATCCTGGAAAGATGGCCATGGTCATCTTCGTCACCTGATGCAGAGTTTGCAAAAAACAACAAAATTTTGCCAAATACTTCTGTTTACAAACCAAATTGTTTGCAAACAAGTGTTCATAAACCGAGGTACCACTGTATTTGAAAGAAGAACATTTCAAGCAGAGGAAGCTAGTACAAAAGCCGTAAAGCTGGAGTTTCTTTCATATCTGAGGAATAGGAAGAATTACAAGAAAGTACTGTATAAGGAATTGCATTCAGAGAGGTAATTGGGAGCCTGATGTGTATGCCCCACAAGGCTATTATGAAGACTTTGGACTTTGGCCTTTACTTTGACAAAATGAAAGAAATTCCCTTAAATTTTTGCTCGAATTACCTATCCTATATAGCTAGGACAATGGGCACTCACCACTGCATTTGGCTTAACTAAGGCCTTTGGCCTGAGAACTGAAAAGATGGAATTACCATAGATAACCAAAATAAGGAAGGCAATAGGTAGATTAAATTGGGTAAGAATACCCAGGAAGAAAGCAGTTTAAACAGTAGGTAAATAATGACCTCATTTTTGTAAAATAGACCCTATCTAAAAACATTTTTAAAAATTTTGTAAATTGACAAAGATTAGTCACTTTTGAGAAAGCACTTAGCTCTGCTAACCTTAGAAATTGTTTTAAGTTGGCCTCTGCCCACCAGTAAGTGGGCAAGATTATGAGATTCTAGACATAGGTATAAACTTGAAGCAATCTTTTTTTTTCTTTTTTCTTTTTTTTTTTTTTTTCTGGTACCAGGGATTGAACTCAGGACCTTGCGCTTTCGAGGCAGGCAGCAGAACCGCTAAGCTAAATCCGAGGCCCTGTCTTTCATTCTTGAGTCTTGTCTTTCTCTCTGAGTCCAGTGGGGCTTTCAAAGTTGCTCTGGTGAACAAGTTCTTTTTTTTTTTTTCTGGTACCAGGGATTGAACTCAGGACCTTGCGCTTTCGAGGCAGGCAGCAGAACCGCTAAGCTAAATCCCCAGCCCTTGTAGCAGTCTTTTGATAGGTACAACTTTTTTTTTGGTACCAGGGATCGAACTCGGGTCCTTGCGCTTGGGCAGCAGGCAGCCAAAACCACTGAGCTAAATCCCCGGCCCAATAGGTACAACTTTTAAAATCTTTTTCTCGGTATAACGTGTATATTAAGTGAATAGAGGCTGGGGATTTAGCTCAGTGGTTCTGCCACCTGCCTGCTGAAAAAAAAAAAAAAAGTGAATAGCTTGGTGAAGTTTTACATATAGATACACTTGTGTATCTGTCACCCAGATCAAGATATAGAACATTTCCAGTCCTCCAGGTGGCTCTTTTGTTCTTGCTTTTTTTGCAGTCAGTACTATGCCTCTCCTCATGATTTTGTAATACTGTAGATTAGTTTTAGATAAGCTTAACCTTTACAGTTAGCATATCTATAATAAAAGGCAGATCCTAAACTACAAACAGAATTGAACTTGCTTCTGTAGCTTGAAGGAACTTTGGAGATTAAATGCTGTGGTATTGAGATTGAACACAACAGAAAGGTGGTATATAAAGAAAGAGTATTGCGCTTTTATTTTCTAAAGTCATATGTACAAAAGGCAGAATTGGTATTGTACATTTCTACCCATGACTTATTGTGATGCTATTGGAATTATAATTTGGATCTCTTTAGAAAAATGGTATCATCTGTATTGCAGTATTTTGTTTTTCTTTTTTTTTTATTTTAGTATTTTGTTTTTCATTGCTCTTTATTATGTGAACAGTGTATTTAGTTACACTTCTAATTTTATGTAAATAATTGTTTTTTTCCCCTGTGGTGCTGGGGGTCTAAGCCAGGGTGTTGCATATGTTAGGCATCCTTTCTACCACTGAGCTACATTCCCAGCCCTGGAAAGATCAGCTTTCAAATTTGGTAGAAAATAGTATTTGTGCATTGTACTTTATCTGAAGTTCCAGTTTTCTAGGGAAAATAATTTACAATCAGAAAATCCTGGCTTTATGCTTTAATAATCCTTAAAATGCTTTACAGGTGATGATGAACAATCTACACAGATGGCTGCAAGTTGGGAAGATGAAAAAGTGACTGAAGCATCTTCAAACAGTTTTGTTGCTATTAAAATTGATACCAAAAGGTTTGCGTATGTTTTACTATTTCATTGCTTTTTTAGTTCTATAATTTATAGTCTTCAGTTGTGATTTGTGATGATATTCTTAGACCACAAGAATGTTGATGTTATGTTTATAGGTGTCTAAGACATACCGAGAACTTTTTTTTTTTTTTTTTTTTTTGGTACTGCGGATCGAACTCGGGTCCTTGCGCTTGTGCAGCAGGCAGTGAAACCACTGAGCTAAATCCCTGGCCTTGAGAACTATGTTTTGCTGAAAATTTTTCAAATTTTTATAGACTACCAAGCAGTCATGTGACATGTCCCAGGAATGCAAAAAAAAACCTGTGGTCTCCAGTTTCTAAGAACTTGGAGATAACTAAAAACATTGAATTATGTTGAACACTTCTGAACATGGGTGATCTCTGTTCCCTCTTTTTTTAATTAAAATTTTAAATTAAATTTTATTTTATCCTATTCCCCCCCTCAAACTCTCTCCCCTTCCTATGTACAAAAGCTTTGTCCATTTTTTCCTTCTATTTGCACTTTTTTCTTGTCCCTTCCTTCCTCCCTCCCTTCTCTGTTCCCCTTCACATTTGATCTGTTCCCTCCTTTGGATTCTTTTTTTTTCTCCTTTGAGAGGGTAGTGTTTTTGTTTTGTTTTGTTTTTGAGACAGGGTCTCACGTTCAGGCTGGTTTTGAAGTCACTATATACCTCAGGCTGCCTTTGAACTTGTAGCAGTTCTCCTACCTCAGCCTCCGGAGTGCTGGGATTACAGGTGTATACCACTACACCAAGCTCCACATGCATACTTATTCATTCCATGTAATTTTGAAACAAATCAGATCATCACATCACTTCATAAATATTTCAGTGTGTTTCTGAAAGATAAGGATTAAGTTTTTTGTTGAGCCTGGTGACACATGGCTGTAATCCCCACACTTCTAAAGCTGAGGCAGATATGTTGCCATAAGTTTGAGGTTATCCTGGGCTACATAGTGATTTCAAGGCCAGCCTCAATTACATTGCAAGACCCTATCTCAAAAAGCAAAACAAAAGATTAAAGTTTTTAACATAATTATAGTGCTTCAAAAACTAATAATAGCTCTTTAATATCATTAATTAGCCAGTGTTCAAATTTTCAATTGTCTTAGAGTCATGGTTTTACTAATTAATTAGGTTTTTGGTTCAGGATACATCGAGTACTGTACTGCCCATTGTGATCTCTGAAGTCTCTTAGTCTATGAGTTTCTCCTTCATCTCTTTTTCTGTGTAACTTACTTTTTGAAGAAACCAAATCATTTGTTCTGTGTATTTGCTCTTTAGTTCCTGTGGTCTGGATTTGTTGATTGTAGCTCTGTTAGTACCATTTAGTTGTTGTGTCCTCTATTTCCTATAAATTGATGGATGGATTCAGGTTTGATTCCCCCACCACCACCACCAAGATCACCTTATATTTTCCATCAGAAGGCTATATTACTTTATTGTGTCTGTTTATGATGTTAGCAGGCATTGATGATCAATGCCTAGAAACATTAATTCGTTAGCACTTGCAAAATATTTGTCTTTTTGATATTGATAGTATCAGAAAGTCACTGTCAAGAGCAAAATAATTAAGAAATTTACCTGTGAGCTTGTAAACAATTTTATTTAAAACTTTTTCATATTCGGCGGGGGATGTAGCTCAGTGGTTTCGCCGCCTGCTGCGCAAGCGCAAGGACCCGAGTTTGATCCCCAGTACCAAAAAAAAAAAAACCAACAAAAAAACACTTTTTCATATTAAGGTGGGTGTGGTGGTACATGTCTATAATCTCAGCACTTTGGGAGGCTGAAGCCAGAGGATTATAAATCTGAGCCCAGCCTGGGCAATTTAGTGACTGAGACCCTGTCTCAAAAAATTAAAAAAGGGTTCGGGGATTTAGCTCAGTCATTGCATCGCCTGCCTCGCAAGTGCAAGGTCCCAAGTTTGCTCCTTGATACCCCCCAAAAATTAAATAAATAAAAGGACTGAGGATTTAGCTCACTGTAAAGGCCCTGGTTACATAAATACATCTTGCAGTGCTAAATAAGTAAACAAATATTGTGTTAGAAATATAAAGCAAACCATAGTATAGCATGAAACAGGGCTTGCTGTGTACGTAGCCCAGGTTAGTGTGTGTAGTCCAGGTTAATCTCAAATTTGTGTAGTCTAGGGCAGCTGCAAACCTGCTGTGCAGTTTAAACTGGCCTTGAACTCTCAGTTATTTTACCTCATCTTCCCAAGTGCTAGGATTACAGTCATGTACTACCAGTTTGGCTCTGTTACTGTTTGGCAGGGCTGGAGCTTGAACCTAGGGCTTTGCACATTCTAGGCAATTGCTGTACCAGTGGTCTGTAACCCTGGCTATGTAGTCATATCATTTTGTACATATTGTCACCTTGGAGAGTCGTTAATGCAGAAAGAATAAATGTAGAGGTTTATTTGGAATGTGAAAGACATGAGAATTTCAAAATTCTTAAGATTATATATAGACTGATTTATGTAGCTTTTTTGGGGGGGGGGTGGTGGTACTGGAGATTGAACCCAGAGCCTTTGCACTGAGCTAAATCCCTATCCCATTTAAAAAACTTTTTATTTTGAGTTTCCCAGGTTGAGTTCCAATTTATGATGCTCCTGCCTCAGCCTCCCAGAATACTAGGATTACAGGTGTGTGCCACCACACCTGATTTACCTAGTATTTTAAAAAATAAATTTCTTGGCCTGGGGATTTAGCTCAGTGGTCTTGCTGCCTGCCTCGCAAGCGCCAAGGACCAGAGTTCAATCCCCGGTACCAAAAAAAAAAATTTCTTTTAGCAGATGCATAATGTATATGTATAGTGATGTTGATTTTTTTTTATTATGAACTGCACACTAATAATATCTAGTGTTATGAAGTTATGAAAAGCAAGTTTTTGTTTGTTTTTAAGAGAGGGTCTTACCTAGTTCTCAGTGGCCTTGAACTCACTATGTAGCCCAGGCCTGCCTCAAATTCACATCAATCCTCGTGGCTCAGCCTCCTCTAAGTTCTGGGATCACAAGTGTGTGGTGCTATGTCCAGCTTGGAAAGCAATTTTTATATATCATATAATGACTACTGTTATGGGAATGTGTGCATTGCCTTGAAAATAAATTGGTAGTAAATGCATCTGAAATGTATAGTGGTTCTGAGATGATAGCATTCTTGGTAAACATTTTTCTTTCTTTCCTTATATCCCATTTACCCCTCAAGCCCTTTCCCCTTTCTGTGTACAAAAGCTTTGTTTCCATTTTTTCCTTCTATTTTCACTTTTTTTTTTTTTTTGGTACTGGGGATCAAACTCGGGTCCTTGCACTTGCGCAGCAGGCGGCGAAATCACTGAGCCAAATCCCCGGCCCCTTCACTTTTTTTCTTATCCTCTCCTTCCATTCTCCTTCCAACATTTTTCTTTATACTTTCTTGTATTTTCAGATGTTTTCATGATCATGTTTCATATTCAGAAAAAAATTAAATTCTACATCTTAAAAGTATTAATTTGATTCTTGGAATGATTCATCTGTGTTGATCACTGTCTCTTATTGCTATTATAAAGTCTTTCTCCCATCCCTGACCACCCAGCTATCTTCTCTGGAGGAGCCAAATCAAGAAAATATATTTTTTCTCTCTTTTATAGAAATGATAACATTTTGACATACTTTTCTCTACTGTTTTTTATGATTGTATGAATATTGATAGATAATTAGATTGTTTGGAATCCTTTATTATAGAATATTATATTATCACATGTACAAGTTAAGTCATTGTGTCCTTTTTTTTTTTTCTTTTCTGTAAAGCCCTGCGAAAGTCACTTTCTGTTTTTTTGTTTTTTATTTTTTTTCCGGTACCAGGGATCAAACTCAGGATCTTGTGCATTCCAGGCAAGCATGGTGCCACTGAGCTAAATCCCCCATTGTGTCTTATAGTTTAAGATTTTGCATTTAGGTATACATGCTGCTGAGGAAGCAACATTTAGATACTAACTTCATTTTAGCTGCCAAATCCACCTACTACTTTGTGGGTTATAACAATAAATGGTTCTTTAATCTGAAAATTATTTTTAAAAAAAACCTAGGGGCCAGGGATTTATAGCTCAGTGGTTCCCCTGTGTGCCTCACAAGCACAAGGTCCCGAGTTTGATCCCTGGTACCCTGCCGCCCCCAAAAAAACCAACCCAAAAGTCTTGTGAAGAATTACACTTTTCCCCTTGTACCTTATTGAGACAGGAACTGGTAATTTCAGAAAAATGCTTGTGATTGGTACAATAAATTTTATGAAAACAACTCAGTATTTGGAAAATAGGGTATTCATCTAATATTTTTTTTTATTTTGTTTTACAGTGAAGCCTGCCTACAGTTTTCACAAATCTGTATCCTTTTCAGTGAAGAATTTGTTTAAATATAGATATACTGTATTTTTACTTTTCTTTGGGCTCATAAAATTTTTTTTTTTTTTCTTGGTACCAGGGATCAAACTCAGGTCCTTGTGCTTGTGGGGCATGTGGTGGAACCACTGAGCTAAATCCCCAGCCCCCCAATTTTTTTTTCAGAGGAAAAATTTATTGAGAGAAAGGTAGTTTCTAAGAGAGACAAAAAGGGGACCAGAAAATGGGTTACTCACTGATCCTACTTCTAAGAGATGTTTTATGGGACAAAGCCCCGAGGTGAGGCAGGTTCAAGGTGGGACAAAACTATAGTCAACTAGTAAGATTGCAAGTAGTCACTTAGGTAATATTGATCCAATGAGAAATCACTAGGTGGATAAAACTGATCAAAAAGATTGCGACTGTATAGTTGCTTAGGTAATATTGATTAGATGGGGATCCAGTGAGGAAGGATGTCACATATCAAGCTTATAAGGATTTTTGGTCAAGGATCTTTCCTAGAAGGGGTGGGGTAAGATCTTGGTCCCCCACCCAGGTGGTTGATACCTATTTAGAGTATCAATCACTGCTATTCATCCTTAGCATTCAAGTGTGGTAGTTTCTCTTTTAGAATGCTGGCCTTCATGAATGTGTCTTGATTGACCTCCATGTTGGATTGATGGTCCTCCATATTGGCTCCTCACAGGCTGGCCCTGTCTGCCTACAAGATATCTAATTAACTTACCTATCTATAATATTCCCTCCTCTGAAGAAGTACCCCTAACTGCCTTGAGGGGCCAGGGGCCAAAGACTGTTCTGTCTACTTCAGGCTGAAGAGGATCGTAGTTGTGATTAGCAGTCAGTTATTCTACACAGGGTTTATCTAAAGGCCCTTGATAGGCGCCAGGCATTGTCGTCTTGGGTAGGTGTGTAGTTTTGAGTCTGGAGGAGGCAAAGCTTAAGAAACAGTTAAGAATACACGAGCCAAATAATAAGGTCAGCAGGATTGTTATGACTATAGCCAATAAGCATTTCCACCAGGGGGACCTAGTAATAGCCTCCCACAAAGAGGATAAGGAGAAGATCCAGGGGACTTCAGAATCCTACGTAGAAGTCATATTGTAGTTTAGCAGCTATGAACTGTTTACAGAGTTGATCTGGTGGATCCTGGTGAAAGAAGTCTAGTACATTTGTCATTGATTCCATTTGTATGACTGCTTGGAGTTTGGCAGCCTTTAGGCAGGACAAAATTTGTAAGAAATTAGAGCGTGTATAATCTAAGCACGAGCATAAGAATGGAAAGGCAGTTTAGGGAGTCACATTTAGAAACTGAAATAGTGATTGTAACCTGCTGGCTCTTAAGTCTGATATTTTGTCATAAGTCTCTAGTTTTAGCTCTAAGAAGATAGTGACAATTTGAAGAATAATTTTAGCTAAGAAATTTTTTTGTTTTTGTTTTTGTTTTGTTTTTTTGTTTTTGGTACTGGGGATTGAACTCGGACCTTGCGCTTTCGAGGCAGGTCGCGGAACCACTGAGCCAAATCCCTGGCCCTTAGCTAAGAAATTTTAAAATTCTAGTTGAGCTCTTACACATTTTACCATAGTTTTTTCCTAATGATCCACAACGGTGGTCAGCTCCTGATATAGCTGGAAACTGCCAGAAGGGGTCAATGATTGGAGCCCCTTTTTATATCTAGCTTTATTGCTATGGCATTGTTTTTATACATCTTTTGGTTATTCTTTTCTGCTGGGTGTTTAAGAACAAGTTAAAGTGAGACCCGTTCCATCAGTATGAACCTCTTGCTGTCTATCAAGATCGATTAAGTCTCCTCAGGCATTACTTTGGAACCATGCATAGAACCTCTCAGCTCCTCTGTCAGTATCAGCTATCAGGATAGGTCACGGCCTTGCTTGACCATGTTGCTTTCAGTGAAAGCATGGGAGACTTCCTCTTAGTGACCCTCCTTTGGCACACAGTACGTTTGTTGATTTGGTGTCCAGCACTCTCCCTTGGTGACTTAACAAAGATGTAGGATTTTGTAGAAAAGATTTCCTCATTTCCTGGATCTTTATTGACCTTGGAGGGCCAGGGCCAAAATATTGGCTGTCCTCTTACCCCAGTTACCTTTTTAGTTTTGGTCTTCAAACTTTAGTTGTTGAGCATCCAGAAGATAAGATCAGTGACATTAGTATTGTAGTGGGAGCAGTGAGCTTCACTATTATAATTTTACCTGAATATCAAGCTCTTTGAAATAAAGTATACTGCAAGACTGTTATTTTTATCAACTATCATTGTTTTAAAAGTTGAATCCCTGCAGAATGTTTTTTTTTATGTTTTTTTTTTGGTACCGGGGATTGAACTCGGGTCCTTGCACTAGCTCCTGTAGAATGTTAACAGACAACAGTTATACATTATATAGAGAAACTTAACATCAAATGGCTCATAAAATTTAGAAATTATTTTTCTTAGGAAATCTCTTATATTCTTCTTTGTGGAAACTTCACATCACAAAGTGTTCTTTGAGAAAATATATTGTAGCTTAATGGGAAAATAGGGGATTTTTTTTGTTTTGTTTTTTAAATGAGAATATCTGAAAAGCCATGCGAAGCAATTTTGTTGAAGGGTTAGAAGTAAACATTTAGTTTTTCTGTTTTGGGTTTTTTTTTTTTGTACCAGGGATTGAACTCAGGACCTTTTACTGGTGAGGCAGGCGCAATGCCACTGAGTTAAATCCCTGGCCCTGAAGGGTTAGAAGTAGTTGACAAGAAGCAGATGGTAGAAATAAAGTTATGATAGAGGAGAATGTATTATATGTTCTTCACTCAAATAGGTTATACAAATACTTGTAAATGTTATATTTGTTTACATATCATATGCACTGACTAATTGCAGGCATGTTTCAGGCATACTGTTATAGTAATTGAAATTATTTATAAATATGTTGGTGGATTATATTATGAAATTCACAAAAGTTATTTTGCCTTGTTATCAATAGGGATTTCTAAAAAAATTATATTTTTGTTTCACATAAATTGTTACTTAATTGAACTGTACAGATCCTGTAGTGTGTGTTCCATCCAGTTTCTTTATTGGAGACAGTGGTATCCCTTTGGAAGTAATAGCAGGAAGTATTTCTGCAGATGAACTTGTTATGAGAATTCACAAAGTCCAACAGGTAAGAAATGCGTAAAGAAAGAAGAATGAAGTTGAGTATGGTGTTGCACATTTGTAATCCCAGCACTCTGGGAGGCTGAGTCAGGAGGATTACAAGTTTGAGCCTAGCCTGGGCAACTTATAAACTTATCTTAGAATATTATCTAGACATGTCTAAAAAAATTAAAAAGGGGCTGGGATATAGCTCAGTGCAAAAACCCTGAATTCAATCCCTAGTACCAGGAAAGGGGGCCAGGGAATGATCTGTCAAGAATTTGACATTGGAATATTTTTGGAGGTTGTCTGTATACTCAGGAACCTGATATACTATTAAACTTAAAAAGTATTGTAGTAAATACCATCTTCCTGGATTGCTTATTTTTAGTTTTTATTTTGAGATGGGGTCTTAGGTTGCCCAGTGTGACCTTCACCTACTAGGCTCAAGCAGTCTTCTTGCCTCAGCTTCTTGAGTAGCTGAGACTACAGATGTTACAGATGTATGCTGTAACATCTGGCTGGATTGGTTTTTTTTTTTTTTTGCTTGGTACTGGGGATTGAACTCGGATCCATTCGCTTGCGCAGCAGGCAACAAAACCACTGAGCTAAATCCCTGGCCCCTGGATTGGTTTTGAAAATAGCATTATGAAGATACAGGTGATACCTAATACTTGAGGGACTTCTTTTCTCTTTACCTCCCGTCCCAGCCACAAAATGCCTATCACCATTTTGTTGCAGGAGAGAATTACTTGCACATTAAAATTCCAGCTATAAGTTGCTTGTCGTATTTTAGGGACTTTACACTCAGTTTCTCACTTCTGTGCACTTTTGGCAAATGGCAATATAAGCTTGTAACTTTTCTCAGTTATAATTTGAAGGGACATCAGTGTACTTTAACATGTTTTTATCCTTTTGCAAGCTTGCTGTTGAATTCTATAATGTGATTATGTCATGTTTAGGATTATATGTTTGGTGGTTTTTTTTTGGTACTGGGGATCGAACTCGGGCTTGCAAGGCAGGCGGCAAAACCACTGAGCTAAATCCCCAGCCCAGGATTATATGTTTTTTAAATTTTTGAGTCAGGGTCTCACTGTATATTCCAGGGCGGCCTGGAGCTCACTATGTAGCCCAGGTTGCACTCGAACTTGGGGCAATCCTGCCTAAGCCTCCCAAGCACTGAGATTATAGGCGTGCATCACCATGCTCGGCTACGATTATGTTTTAGAGTCATCCACTTGAGAGTTTAGTACTTCTCCTTTTGTTGGGTTTTGGGGTTTTTGTTTGTTGTTTTTGATACAGAATCTACATACTACATACAGAGTATGTAGTCCAGGCTGGCCACACACTTGCTATGTAGCCCAGGCTGGGCTTGAGCTTGTGATCTTTCTGTCTCAGGCCTCTAGTGCTCCTACTACAGGTGTGCATGCCCAGTTTGTACTTCTACTCTTGTATAAATTTATGTAATTCATATTTTGGTCTTACCTGCTATGGTAAACTTAAATTCTTTATATTTACTAAATTCCAATTTGTTTTCTCCGTAGATGCACTCATCAAGAGGTGAAACATCAGTGGCAAATGGCAGCCAGTCTGAAAGTTCAGTGTCTACTCCATCTGCCTCATTTGAACCTAATGACACTTCTGAAAACTCTCAATCCAGGGATGTAGAGTTTTGCCAGACACCTCTCACTTCTGATACAAAATCAGGTACTACAACAGGTAATTTTTAGTGTACCTTTTAGGATAGTGGAAATATTTTTCCACTTCATTGTAAAGGGCATGGATTAATATTTTGTTAGTTTGGGAGGTTGGGAGTTGAGACAGTATCTCTCTATGTAATTTAGGCTGTCCTTGAACTCACTATGGAGCCCAGGCTGATTTTGATCTTATAGTGATCCTCCTCAGACTCCCCACTGTGCCCAGGTCAGGGCATGGATTGATTTTTTTGTTGTTGTTTGGTACCGGGGATCAAACTTGGGACCTTGCACTTGCAGGGCAGGCAGTGGAACCACTGAGCTAAATCCCCGGCCCTGGGTTAATATTTTTAAAAGCAAAGAGCTGGAAATATAGTGGAGCACTTGCTGAACATGTCCGAGGACCTGGATTCAATGACTGCAACACAGAAACGAAACTAGATATATTATTTTTTTCCTTCACATTGATTTAACTTAAAATTTAGGTTAAAAATTTAGAGATTGGGCTGGATATTTAGCTCAGTGGTTCCGTCACTTGCCTTGCAAGCGCAAGGACCCAAGTTCGATCCCTGGTACCAAAAAAAAAAAAAAAAAATTTAGAGATCCTAATTAGTGGTCCTAATTATGTGTATGTCATTTAGTAATACGAGAGTCATTGAATGTGCCCTTCACTCCCAGGTAGTGTATAGTTCACAACAATTGGTTTATAATTACTGCTACTGTGCTATATAGTCCAACCAATATCATTATGACATTTAGAGTTTTGTAAATCTTCCTGGCCTAGAGGATTTTGAAAGAGGCAAATGAATTAATGTATTTGAAATTGTTTTTATAACCTATAAAATGCTACGCAGTCAGAGAATGGCATTGTTTTTGGTGATGGGACAGGTGTTGAGATAGGATCTCACTGTGTATTCCCGGCTAAGCTTGAACTTACTGTGTAGCCCAGGATGGCCTCAAACTCTCAACAATCCCCCTGCTTCAGCCTCCTGAGTGCTGGAATTACAGGTGTGTAACACTGTGCCTTGCTGCATTTTTAAATTGGAATATATGACTTGAACCCAATTTGGAAAATTTGGCTTGTTTTCTTTCTAACACCAGGGATCAAACTCAAGACCTTGCACTTGCCAGGCACCGTGCCACTGAGCTACACACCCCAGCCTTGTTTTCTTTTCAAATATTATGTCCCTTTTTCTCTTGCCTAGGTGAAGCTTATTACATGTTTAGGTATCATGATACTCTCCCATAGATTCATTTTTTCAATTTTTTTTTTCTTTTCTTTGGATTGGATAATTCTGTTCACTGTTACCTCTATTCTGCTGTTAATCCTATCCAGTGAATTTTTAAATTTTAGGTAAAATTAGACATGTTTTATAATTATAGGATTTCTAATTCTTCCTTTCGTCCTAATTATAACTTATTTTGTAATAGCTTGACTCATAGGAAGTTGCAAAAATTGTAGATTTCCTGAGTTCCCCCCCCCGCCCCGCCCCCAGGAATCGAACTCAGGACCTTGTGCTTTCTAGGCAGGCATGGTGCCACTGAACTAAATCCCCAGCCCCCTGAGTATCCTTTATTCACATTTTATTCTTTTACTTTTTTTGCGGGTTGGGGTACTGGGGATGGAACTCGGGACCTTGCACTTTCGAGGCAGGCTTCAGCACCACTGAGCTAAATCCCTGGCCTCTTTTACTGTTACCTATTAAACCAGGTGTGGCTCATACCTGCAGTCCCAAAATTTGGGAAGCTTAGGCAAGAGGATCAAAAGTTTCAGCCCAGGGCAGTTTAGTGAGAATAAAAGGCCCGTGGATGTAGCTTAGTGTAGGGGCACTGAGTTCAATCCCCAATACCATAAAAAAAAACAACAGAGTTGGGTATGGTGGCCCACACCTTATAATCCCAGTAGTGGAGGGTGAGGCAGGAAGATCACTACCACAAGTTCAAGGCCAATGTGAACTACATAGTGAGTTCAAGGCCAGCCTAAGCTACATAGCAAGACCCTGTTTTTTTTTTTTTTAAGATCCTATCTTGAAAAAAAAAAAACAACAACATACAAGGTGTGGTGGTGCATGCCTGTAATCCCAGCACTTGGGAGGCTGAGGCAGGAGAATTGCTGTAAATTCAAGGCCTACCTGTGCTACATAGTGAGTTCAAGGCCAGCCTGCCCTACACACCAAGACCCTGTCTCAACAAAACAAACAGCAAAAAAAACCTTTCAATTAATTTTAAGCAGTTTCCTTTACCTCATTAAGTTATGTAATGGGTATTTTAAAGTCCTTGTTTGGTAACTCTAGTATCTGTTTACTTTCAGTGTTTGTTTGTTTGCTTTTTTTTAATTGCCTTTTTCTTTGAGAATGAATCACATTTTTCTCTTTCATCAAAAAATTTAGGAGCTGGGGATTTAGCTCAGTGGCGCCATGCCTGCCTGGCAAGCACAAGGTCCTGAGTTTGATCCCTGGTACCAAAAAAAGAAATTTAGAATTGTATCTTGTATGTGCTGTTGTAGACACTCTGGGCTCTTATACTCCTGCAGTGAGTGTTGATGTCTTTGTTTTAGTAGGCTGTTAACTTGCTTTACTCCCTTGAAAGTTCTGTTTTACCTGAGGTGAGTAGCAGCACTGATTTTATTCCTTTTTAGCTTTTTTATTTGGTACAGGGATCGAACTTGGATCCTTGTGCTTGCAAGGCAGGCGGCAAAACCACTGAGCTAAATCCCCGGCCCAGAAATATTTAAAATTTTAAATAAAAACATAGAAAAAAATAGTATGACACATCCCAGGAACCTGTTGCCCTACTTCAACTATTATTGACATATGACCAGTATAGTTGTCGTTTGTGCCCCCCTTTTCTTTCCTCCTTGCCTCTTACTATTTAGAACAAATCTCAGGTGTTACATCGTATTACTCAAAAATATTTTGATATGTAGCTCTAAAATGAAGGAAGAAATCTTTTAGGTCATTTATATTTGCCTTTTTAAAAACCTTTTACTATGGGACCGGGGATTTAGCTCAGTGGTGCTACCGCCTGCCTCGCAAGCTCTAGGTCCTGAGTTTGATCTCTGGTACCAAAAACAAAACCTTTTACTATGAACATTTGGAAGCACTTTTACTTTTTTTCTTTTTGGTCCTGGGGATTGAACTCAGGTCCTTGTGGTTGCGCAGCAGGCAGTGAAACCACTGAGCTAAACCCCCGGCCCTGCAAGCACTTTTAAAAGCAGAGAGAATAGAGTAATAAACCCAGTGTATCCATTATCTAGCTCCAATAATTGTCAAAATTTGCTCAATTTTTATTGCACCTATACCATCCTGTACCACCATCCCTATCAAATTATTTTGAAATAAATCTCTGGTATTTTATTGTGAACATTCTTTTTTTTTTTTGGTACCAGGGATCGAACTCAGGTCCTTGCGCTTGCACAGCAGGTGGCAAAACCACTGAGCTAAATCCCTGGCAATCTCTGGTATTTTATTATTTCATCTTTTAAAATGTCAGTATCTAAAAGATACGAACTTCCAAAAATTACCACAATTCCATACCAAAGCTGGAAAATTGAACCAGTCGTCTAGGGCATTATTTCTATTACACTTTTTTCCAGTTTGTTTGAATTCAGAGTCCAATATATTGTATTGGCTGAATAGTTGTTTAATGTGTAAATTCCTACTTTAATTAATACCTTTTCCTATAGTTTTATAGAGTCTGGATTTTGCTGCATCCGTAATATTATGTAAATGTTCTTTTACTTCCTCTAAATTGGTAGTAAAATCTACAGGTGTGATCAGACATAAGTTCCCTTTTTACTGCTTTTTGGCAAGACTAGTTTAGGTGAAAATGTGTATTTTCATGAGGATATTGCATATTCTCTGATAATCTAGTTGTCTTTGAAGCCTAAAGTAGACATTCCCTTAGTAAATTTTCATTATATTGGGATTTTATCTATTATCTTCGATTACTGAGTTTTTTTTAATCTAGAACTTTTCATTCAGTAATTGGTAGTTAAATATTATTAAGAAGCTATTTTTTTAAAAAGCCAGAAGAAGAAAAGTTTTGGTAAATTTGTTGTTGGTTTCAAGATAGATTGTGTTTTTGGTATTTACTGAAAAATTAATTTCCTATTTAACATACTGTAGCTGCCAGTGGTTACCACTTCTTAGCCATGATTGCATGGAGTGATAATGCCCATAAATGTTCAACAGAAGTTCTGTGGAAGCTAAAAATCCTTAATTTGGGTATTTTCTAATTCCCAAGATGGCTAATTTTAAATTAAGCAAGTGATGACACTGAATGCAGAGGCAGGAAAAGATATGTACCATTGGCTCTGCCTGGTAGTACTAATTGTTTCTATTACTGCTGTAATGATTAAAGCATCTGCCATGTGCCAGTCTCAGTAAAGTACTGAGCATTTTACTTATATTAAAATATATTTCTCAGAACAAATCTATAAAGTTATTGTCCCTATTTTGCAAATTAGGCACAGAGATTTAAATAACTAATGGAATAACTGAACAGCTCTTGAGCCCAGTCTTTGTGATTTTTTTTTTGGTACCGGGGATCAAACTCGGGTCCTTGCACTTGCACAGCAGGCGGCAAAATCACTGAGCTAAATGCCCAGATAAAAAGTGACTTTTTTTTTTTTGGTACTGGGGATCGAACTCTGGTCCTTGCGCTTTCAAGGCAGGCAGCGGAACCACTGAGCTAAATCCCAGGCCCCTTTGTGGCTCCATAGTCCTTAGTTTTCCAAAGATCATAACTGTAAAGAAGAGTTAGATTGGTGCCAAGTGGTAAGGAGGGAAATAACAGGAACTGCAAGGCCATAACTGTCCTTTATAGTAGGCTAGAACAAAATTCTATCCTTTGGAAATCCTTGAAAGAATGATAGTATAGAAACACAGAGACTTTTTTGGTAATCACTGTAGTCAGCAAAAGCAGATCTTTTGGACCAACATTAAGTCTACAGAGTTATATCCAGAACCAGACATGGCCTCTAAAGTAACACTGTCTTGGTTCTTATTTTTTCCCCATTCCCCTGCCCTCCCTGCAACCCCTCCATAAAGTAACATTATCAATAGTATAGAATCATGTGTAGCTGTTTTTTGAATTTTATTTTTGAAGCAAAACATTTATTTATGTGTGGCTATTTTAATTAAAATTAAGTACAGTTAAAAATTTAGTCCCTCAGCTGCAGTAGCCTCATTTCAAATGCTCAGTAACTACTCAGTAGCTAGTGGCTAATGTATTGGAAGCATAGCATAGATATTATTCAGCATTGCTATTGAGTAAAGCTTACTCATGGACATACATACCTCCTTCAAGGTTGATGCCTCTTCGTGTTTTAAACCTCCCTTTACTTTGACAGACCCCACTGAATTACCCACTGCCTTTCCACTATACACTGTTTTATCCACATGTAAAATTCAGGATTAATAATTGCTTATTTTTTATTTCTTGCTTTATTCTTAGGGGAAATACATAATGTTTAAGAAATGATATTATTAACCCAGAGAATTTGTATCTTTAAAAAAATTGTATTATATGCAGTATCCCCCCCCCTCTCTTTCATAATTAAGGAGGAGAAAGCTCAAGCCATACAACTCCCTCTCAGGAGCCCAGTGAATGTTCAAATCAGAGACCTGTAGAGGACCTCACCATCAGAGTGGAAAGGTTTGTTCTTATTTTTGGGTTTTTTTTGTACCAGGGATCGAACTCGGGACTTTGTGCTTGCAAGGCAGGCAGCGGAACCACTGAGCTAAATCCCCAGCTTGTTCTTATTTTTGCAAGTAGCATTTTTAAAAACTAAAGACAGTGGTTTTCTTTTATGGTAAAATTACACAAATGAACTTTCAGAATTCTGAGTTGAAATTTTTGTTTGCTTGACCAATTTAATTTGTATTTATAAAAATTACATTCTAGAGGTAAAACTTTTCTGTGTCTCTAAAGTCATCAGTCAGCTGTAGTTTCCGATCTGTAGTCTTCCATGCTGTGCCTCTTATGTTATATGAGCTGATGTTTAATTGATAAGCACAAAAATTTTTTTTTTTGCTACCGGGGATCGAACTGGGACCTTGCGCTTGCAAGGCAGGCGGTGGAACCACTGAGCTAAATCCCTGGCCCAGCACGAATATTTTTAAACCTGGCTTAAAAACATTTAGTGTTATATAGAAGTCTTAAAAATGTCTTAGAAAAAAAAAATGTCTTAGAGGAGTCTGGAGATATAGCTCAGAGTAGGGCTATATAGGTAGAGTGCGTCCTTGCATGCATAAGGCCCTGGGTTCTACCCCCATTACTGCAAAAAAGGAAAAAAATAAATCCTTAAAGGAACTTGACATTTTCTTATTCATAGAGATGCTTTGGGGAAACAGGATTTAAAGTCATTGATATGATGAGATTTTGGAGTCAGTAAATATCTTCATTTTAGCAACACCTAGATTGTGATTATTATTACTGTTGTGGCAGGGCTGGGACCTTGAGGTAAAGAACATCTCTTACATTTAGAAACAGTGTAAGGGGTAGAAGAACATTAGGGACCCCAAGTTCTCAGCAGCTCATCCTCTGTTGTTTCTGTCTTGCTAATACCAGGCCCATCAGTATACAACCTGACTTGTACTACCTTGGGGTGAACTGGAAATAAAAAATCTGGAAAAGGGTTTGAAAACAAGGCAGAGGGGAAAAACAGAATTAGTAGGCCTTTATTGTGAGGCGGGTCAGGTGCTGTGTAGTTGTAGTGGAAATGGGGAGTGTTTGGTAAGAGAATGTCTACTGCTCTCAGCTTGTATGGCTGTAGAAATACACCATTTTAAAATTAGGAAATGGTTTTTATATATAGACATTCTGGTGTTAATGTGTTATATTTGATATAATGAAACAAAGACACATAAGGACATACACCAAAATATTTATACTACCATCTGTGAAAGGATAATTATGGCTTATTTTTCATTGCTCTGTTTTTTTTTTTCTTCTGTAACTCTTCTGAAGTTGCCAAATTTTCTTCTTTGAGGATTATTACCTTTATAATTAGTATATTAGGACAGGGTAGGTCTACTGTTATTTGAGAGTCCTTATACCAAAGAAAAAAAAAATTTTTTTTTTTTTTGTACTGGGGATTGAACTCAGGACCTTGGGCTTGCAAGGCAGGTGGAGGCAAGAAAAAAAATTTTAAAGCTGGGGATTTAGCTCAGTGGTTTCGCTGCCTGCTGTGCAAGCACAAGGACCCAAGTTCGATCTCCGGTACCAAAAAACAAAACAAAACAACTAAAAAAAAAAAAAATTTAAAAATACATTTTACTGTATTTTATCCTATTCCCTCCCTCAAGCCCCCTCCTTTCCCTATGTACAGAAGCTTTGTTTCCATTTTTTCCTTCTATTTTCACTTTCTTTCTTGTCCCTTCCTTCCTTTCTCCCTCCCTCCTCCCTTGTTCACCTTCCCATTTGAACACGTTTTTCCCATTTCCCAACATCCATTATACATCAGTCCTTATTCCACGTTCAGTTTCTCACACCAGAGAAACAGTGCAGTATTTAAACACGCGTGTCTGATTTATTTCACTTAAAGAGTATGGTCTCAAGATCCATCCATTTAACTATAAATGTCTGAAGCTCATCCTTCTTTATGGCAGAGTAGTACTTCATTATATAAAAAAACCACATCTACTTATCAGTTGATGGGCATTTTGGGTGTTTCCAGGATTTAGCTATTACAAATTGTGCTGCTATAAACATAGACACATGTACATCACTGTGGTATGATGCTTTTAATTCTTTCAGGAAGATACCATGAAGAGGTATAGCTGGGTCAAATGCCCGTTTTTGCATTGGGTTGTTAAATTTGGGGGGGTCTGATTTTTTTGAGTTTTTTATGTATTCTAGGTAATAGTCCTTTATCTGAATAGCTGGTAAAAATTTTTTCACATGCTGTGGGTTGTAGCTTCACTCTGTTGGTGGTTTCTCTTGCTGTGCAAAAAGCTTTTTCATAAGATGAGGTCCCATTTGTTGACTGTAGTATTTCCTGTGTGTTCTGGGTTTTGTTCATGAAGTCTTTGCCTACTCCTAAGTCCTCAAGCTTGTACTTATTCTCTCTTAATGCAGATTTAATGTTTCTGTTTTAATATTTAGATCTGTGATCCATTTTGATTTTAGGTTAGTACATGGTGAAAGATATGGCTCTAGTTTCAATCTTCACCATGTGGAAAGCCAGTTTTTCCAGCACCATTTATTAAACAGGCTATCTTTCTTCCAGTGAAGGTGTTTGGCTCCTTTGTCAAAGATAAGGTGGCTGAGTATGTCTGTTGTTGCTTCTGCATCCTCTAGTCTGTTCTATTGATCCTCAGGTCCGTTCTTCTGCCAGAACCAGGTTGTTTTTATCACTGTAGCTTTGTAGTATAATTTAAAGTCAGAGATTGTAATACCCGCTGCTTTGCCTTTGTTGCCCAGAATTGCCTTTGCTATTCTAGGCCTCTTGTGGTTCCAAATGAATTTTAGGATTGTTTTTTCTAATTCTGTGAGATACGCAGTTGGGATTTTGATTGGGATTGCATTGAATCTGCATAATAATTTTGGAAGTATGGCCATTTTCACTATATTGGTTCTTCCTATCCAAGAATAAGGGATATCTTTCCATTTTTTGATATCCTCTTCAATTTCCTTTTTCAGAGTACCATGGTTTTCAATGTAGAGGTCTTTTACTTCTTTCATTAGATTGATTCCTCAGTATTTTTTGGGGGGGGGGATGTTATTGTGAAAGTTATTGTTTGTCTAATTTCTCTCTCTGTGAGTCTGTTATTTGTGTACAGGAAGGCTATTGAATTTTGAGTGTTGACTTTGTATCCAGCTGTGCCACCTAATTTAAACCAAAGAAAATTTTAAGGTGCTCTTGAAGGTAGAGACATCAGTAATTTTTAGTGTATGTGCTGCCAAAGCGAGCACAACATAAGTAATTTTAAAAAAGCAAATTTTGTTAAAATCATTGTTATGGCGTGTGTTTAGAAGTCACCCCAAAGCCTCATGTGATCATAAGTGGGGCTTTTTCAGATGTGGCTGGGTCTAGAGTATGTGACGCTGGAATTGATTCATGGTGCAGTGCTAGGATCAAGGTCACCAGCATTAAGGATGTGAGTGCTACCTGCCCTAAGTAGCCTGTATAAGACATAAGGGATAGAAAGAGCTGTAGTTATCCCTCGTTTGCTTTGCTACTTTCTGCCCACCATGAACTGTTTCTCTTCTGCAATGTCCCTGTGCTATGCCACCCTGCCTTGGAGCCAGCCAACTATGGGCTGAAACATGTGCAAACTGTGAGCTAAATAGACCTTTTCTTCTTTAACTTTGGGTGTCGAGTATTTTGTCTCAGCAATGAGGAAAGTAACTAAGACAATCATCATTTGAAATCTATGTGAGCTTTAGCCTTTAGAAAAAGATACTATTATTGAAATTGGATGAAATGTTGACAAACTTGCTAATGAAACAGTTTTTATTGGGAAATTACTTTTTCTTGGTGAAACAACCTTTGAAAAATCCAGATCCATATGGTCAGGTAATTAAAATCTTATATAAGCACTTTAGATTGTTGCTGCTGAGATTAACTTATTGGACTCAACCAACCTCTACAGCCTAGGTCCTAGTACTAAGTAATTCACGAGCTGAGAGTCTACTTTTTTTTTTTCGTCTGAGTTCACACCCAATTAGAAATCTTGTTCCTTTTGTGGAATCTAATTTATTGATGATGGCGGTAACAGATAACACCAACCCATGTATTATGCCTGTCCCAAATAGCCTCTTAGCTCATCACTTACACCCTAAGGATTTCCTTCATCTTTACCATCCCTGCCAGGCTCTGTGATGTTCTTATTCCTGTGTCTAGCTCATTCCTTGCTATCCTCTGCAGGGTTATTGGACTCTGACACAACTAGAGTGCTGCTGGTTTCCCTGCTTCACAGAACTGAATTACTTTTTCTCAGCCCAGAAAACTTGGAACCATCAGTCTAAGTAATCTAGTGATATAATCTGATGTTGAAAAATTATGTAATACTAGCTGGTGGCATAGGACTGTAATCCCACCTACTACTTAGAAGACCAAGGTAGAAGAATTGCATGTTTAATGCCAGCTTGGGCAGCTTGGTGAGACCCTGTCCCCAAAAATGAAAACAAAACAGAGGGCTGGCCATGAAGCTCAACACCACCTTGGTTCAATCTGTAGTACCAGAAAGAAAAAAAAAGTAATACTAAGCTCTATAAAGCTAAATTTGTACATTTTCCTGTAATCTTGATGAACTTTTTTTTTTGTTTGTTACCGAGGATCGAACTCAGGTCCTTCCGCTTGCGAGGCAGGCAGTGGAACCAGAGCTAAATCCCCGGCCCGATGATTTTTTTAATAAAAAGATTTCCAAATGTTTATTTCTGGAACTATACACCAGATATTAAAAAAATATGGAGCACTTCGTGAATTTGCATGTTATCCTTGTTCATGGGCTATGCTAATCTTCTCTGTATTGTTCCAGTTTTAGTACTTGTGCTTCTGAAGCAAACACTTTTGATGATATTTTAAAACATACTTCAAACATGTTAAAAACTCAGCCTTGCCACGCATGGTGGCACTCATTTGTAATTTTTGCATTTGGGAGGCTGAGGCAGGAGAATCACAGTTTAAGGCTAGCCTGGGCTACATAGTG